GTGCTGTGCTTTAACCCGCTGCGCCACCAGGGAGGGCCCGGTAATAGCTTTTTAATTTTTGAAAAGCACTCATTAAGCCATCCACTGCGCTGCTTATAAACATACTGCTATTTGCTATTCGTCGTGTTTTTATTACCCTTCTTTCCTTTCATTGTTTTTTATCGGGCCCTGACCGCAAAACAGTAGTCTTAGTGGTGGAGGAGACAGAATTATCATTTTGTTGGCAGAAACATTACGCATGAAAACATTAAAAGAATTGAGTCAGTAAAATGCATTCTAACACCTCAAAACTGAGTGCAAGAACTTAGAAAATTCAGCACAAAATTTACTTGCCTCAAAAAATGTTTATGACTACCTAACCCTAGAGAAACAATTTATAATTATACTCACTTCAGAAAAGGATTCTGAAGTGTTTGTTGTATGCTACTTACAGGTTTAAGAATCTTTCTTTGGGACTCCGGATTTTTTTGGTCAAGTATTGACTTAGGTCTCAGGCTGCCATCACAGACTATTGAGTCCTTATTACTTCTGTCCCTATTTGTGGCAGCCACTTCCACTAGGCCTTTACCTGCAACTGAAGGAACCCCAGTGGGAGCCACCATTATTAAAAGATGTAAAAAAGGGTGAATTTGGATGCTGAACTCATAGATGTTCTCTAAGCAAGTTCTCAGTGCTTAGTATTACATGAGAGGGAACTGTTACAGGGCAAGATGAGAGGCAACCCAGACCCCAGAACCCCCACCCCAAACCTTGCGGTTCTAGATAGGTTCTGCCATCCGACATCAAGACAAAACATAGATGAGAATAAGAGCTTCCTAAGAATTTCAATGGAAAGAAACTTAAATGTAATTAGTGTGCAATACAGAAAAGGGAAAGAATAAAGTTTCCAAATCAAGCACCTGAAGTTACCTATCACCTCGTCAGCAAATGCTCAGCCAAAACAGGGTTGGCCCTTAGAAGGGCCTCTGAGGCCGCAAAGCCTGCCACAAGTCTAAAACACCTTCTGATGAGGACCCATAGAAAAGGGGCAGAAGGGAGACAGAATATCTGTAAGGAAAAGAGCAAAATCCAAGTCCAAATCAAAGCTGCCACTGTTTACCTCTCCCACCCCCACTACGGCTCTTTCAACCAATCCAGGACCAAGAAGCAAGTACATTCTTTGCGTGTCTCTCTGCTCCATGTACTTCTTTCAGGTCTCCTTTGGGCTCTCATCTTTCTTCCTCCTCCAGTCTCCTCTGCAGCTTCTCCTGTCTCCTTTGTCCCACCCTCCCTTGGGTGGGATAGGGAAACTGGAACCTCCCATTTTCCTTGGGACTACCCTGTTAACAGAACTAGAGACCAAACAGACATTAGAAAGAAACTAGACACTTCCTCTGCCATAGTTCCCTGTTAGGACACCTCCTGAATTGCTGCAGCTTTTCCTTTCCTCCTTCTGCATGAGCTCACATGGCATTAATTATCCTCTGCTTCCAATAGATGACTTCCCTGAGCTGATGGTATGGAAGGGACCACTGAATTGATGACTTTGGTCTTTCTTCCTATTCTACAGTTAAATACCATGACTAAAATTTAGGTGTTTCTAAAACTCCATAATCAACCATTTTAAGTCAGTTATGTTAATTGATCAGTGGTGTCATTAGTTAAATGTTTGTTTTCAACTATACACATAAATATTCAACTCAATGACTTTATTGATTTACTGATCAATTACTAGCTTTATAGGCATAACATTGGTTTGTATCATTGTATAACTTTCAGGTGTACAAATTTATACTTTGACTTATATAAGCACACAGATGTGAGCAACAATAAAAGTCATTTTTATTAAGTAGTTTATAGTTTTGTTTTTTAATAAGGAGGGTATTATTCTATCAGAAATGCAGATGTAGGTGGTTCTAGTTTTGCTTTAATCAGTTTGGGTAACAATGTCAGGGTTTTTAGTGAACTTCTCTGACACTCTCCATTTTCCTACATGGAAATAAATATCATTTCTTATAATATCCAAAGTAGGAAAAAGGGACACTTTTTTCTTCCTGTGTCTCTCTATATGTGGGTGAAATCTCCTTCTGAGAATGCCCTTCATCGGACACTGGTCATGACTGGTTTACAAGTCCAGGCATAGCATTAGCAGCTTAAAATATGAGAAGGTAGGCTATAGCAGGGGAAAAAAAGATGGACTACTGTTGCGTAGACTACCAACAGTGCTTACCACATGGGTGATCATTAACTTTAAGGTTTGGGAGTATTGATCTGAAACTCAGGAGGGTATTTTTGTGAGGTTACAAATGAAGCTGTTTATAATACATGATTCTAGAGAATAAAAGTTGGAATTTGTGGAAAGAGTGATGTGTTCATTTTTTATTGTATACCATTCTCTATTGTTTAGATTTTTAGCATGTGTATACAATTTTGCAATCATATTACATTTTTTTAAAAAGATTTA